CGCGCCATCCCCGGAAGCCCTGTGCCTCCCTTCCCCCCTCCCAGGAGCCCCCTGCGTCACCTGTCCCCCTACCCCTCCCACGCCCAGCACAGGCGCGGCACAGAGGAGGGGAATGCTTCACGAATGGCCGTCGAATAAACCTGCGCGAACACATCGCTCCCCATCCTCCTCCCCCCGCTCAAGCCCCACGGCCAACACTTCAGCGAATCTCAGGTGAAATGTGTCACAGCCTCGCTGTTCTACCCGGGGCCCAGCCCACTTGACGCAGGAGGCTTCCAATGAAGGATGAACTCCAACACTGAGGGAATGAGGGAGTCCCCCTGTGGGGTTGTTTCATTCGTCTGCATCTTATTCATCCTTTGCCCCCTCGCCTTGAGCACTACAGCCCGTAGTGAAGGTGTTGAGTGACTAAAGTTCATCTACAGCAGCTTGTGGATTTTGACACTTGCATTAGGAAAGTGTTTCTCAAACTGTGTTCCCTGGAACACCATGAAAATTCTATTTTCTGTGTAAGTTTGGGAGCCCTTGGACACCAATCTGTCCTATCACAGATTTACAATGTGCATCAGCACCCCCAAGGCTCTGGGACATTCAGGAGCAGAGTAACCGTTTTAACTTTTACCAACTTGTCTGCACACAGGCAGAGAATGAGGCATGCGTCCCTCTGAGTTGCTCACCTTGGGGTTGAAGGCACAGCTGAACAAGGCCCCTAGGTCCCGGGCCAGTGTTTCTGACTTTCCTGTCTCCGTCGCAAAGAGGATTGTGGCTCTCACTCGGGACGCCATGGTCTTGCGCATCAGCATGGAGGCGAAGAGCACAGCTCTGTGTAGACAGACAGACAGACAGACAGACAGACACTGTGCTGACTCACCCTTCCAGAGGAACGCACGGGTCACAGAGAATGGAAGAGGGACAGTGTCTAAAGGGTGGCAGTTTGTGGGAAAAGAACTCATGTTTCTTACCAGGTATCGACCTTGACTCCCGGCCCTTCTCCTCCTCTCACCCACTCAACCCATGACTCAGCCCCGTGGGAAAACAGAGGACAGGGAAGGTTGGGACGATGGTGGCAGGCAGTCCCCACGGGCGTCTGGACCTCTGCGAGCCCAACTCCACAAAGACCATCGTTTCTCTTTGTTCCCCGCCCTTCAAGGCCTAGAAGGGCAGGCTGGCTAGAAGAAAGGGCTGCAGGTGAGACGCCAGCGCTGGCCGCTCCCACTTACTGAACCAAGACTTTGAACGGAATCTTTCTTCTCCGGGGTCTCCGCTTCTCATCCTGCCAGATGTGGGTTTTCCAGGCCTCCACCTGCAGAAAAGAAGGCACCTGTGAGGGCAAGGTGGGCCCTGGCTCGGCCGGGGCTTGGGGATGCGAGGGAGCCAGAGGACCCTCTGTGCGCTTTGTGAGGTGGGGGTCCCCGGGTGCCCCGGCAGGGAGGGCTGGGGCTCTGTCTCCCTCAGAGTTGCGGCTCCAGGGTCCAGCTTGGAACTTGCGCATACCGGGTGGCCAGTTGATTTTATTCTCCATTAGTGTCCCCCCAGGAGGAAGAGGCCCCACTTCTCTTTCGTTTTTAGTGCCACTAGGCAGACCATGTGATGTATAGTCCAAACCGGACAGCTTTGAGTGAAATAAGGCACTATGACGACAGGCACACGCTGTCCCCGGCAGTCAGTCCCCCTACCTGGCATCTTAAAGTAAGGAGGCTCCTCCCCGAATCTAGCCGAAGCCCTTTATGACAAAAAGTGAACGGGTTTCAATAGGGGATGGTTATGGAGTGCATTCTGGGCTGGGCAGAGACCAGCTCACGGGATCCACACAACAAGAACATCAGGGCTCCCATGGGTGAAATGACCCACCCACGGCCATGCCGCTAGGAAGTGGCAGAGTCGCCCACAGGTGTGTCTGACCCTCGAGCCAAACTCTTCACCCTTATGGGATGTGACTGGTTGAGGTGGCGGCAATGGCGGTCACCCTCAAGCTTAAGCCCCATCAGAGCGCTGGACCCCTGAAGGTGAAATAAAAGGTATTTCCTTAAGTCCCACTCCCTGCGGAAATGGACGATTGCTGTTCAGCATCCTGACAAGCATTACAAATAGGCCCCTGTGTCCCCGACCCTGCCCCGTGTGTCCTGCGTGAGCGTGAACGTGCATGCATACGTGTACACACACGCATGCACACCTACACACACACACACATTCTCCACCCCTGAGCTCCCAAGACAGAGAGGGGAGGAAGGCCCTCCCTCACCTGGTAGTAGAAGAAAGGGGACAGGACATAGTTTAACATCTCCTGGTGGAACACGGGAGTGATGCTGCCAGAAATCGGGGGCACCAGCCAAATCCAGTCGGCAGGACAGCCCCCTCGGGACCGGTACTCGTTCTGCATGTACTTCATGAAGGACTCCGCAGCCGAGTGGTGGTCCATGATGGTCACGTTTTGCTTCTGAAGTAGGAGGAGGCAAAGAGGGGGGGTTGAGGCAAGGGAAGGGGGACTCGGGAGCATGGTCTGTCAGCGGGGCTCCCAAGGTCAGTAAAATGTGACAACAGTTCCTCCTGGCCACCTCCTCGCTGCTGAAAGTAAATACCCAAATGGAAGGCACTTTCAGAGCCTCCAAAGGAGCCCCAGAAATCACCACGGTCATAGTCGGCCCAGAGGTCACATGGTGGGCCCCCCCCCTTGGCCCTCTAGGGACAGAGTCAGCTTCTCAGGCCACGCCTACAAGTCTCCCCAAACTCCCCACAAATGGCTCCCTCTGGATGTGGACAAATCCAACCATAGTGTCTTTTTGCCACTTGTTAGTACTGAGAGTTCCAGGAGTCACTTCCCTGAGGATGGGGCTCTCTCAGCCAAGAAGGAACTAGACATCTCTGAAGAGAACTAAGTGTTGGGGAAACGGCAGCATATGGAAGACAAGTCAGCACAATGTCCCACATCCTAAAGTTAGAAGCCAAGGGGGTCTGAGCCTTCCTGGAATGATCCAACAAAGGCAGCCACACCCCTCAATGTCTGGGGCAACTCAGTCAGGAGACATTTGTTTAATGTCATGATTCAAACTTTGGCCTCTTATTAGCCATGTGACCTTGAGCTATTAGTTCCTGAACCTCACTAAGCCTCAGTTTCCTCAAATGTAAAATGGGGTTGATAACAGTTTCTACATTGTAACGTTGCTGAAAGGAGGCAATAAGTTAACACAAGTAGGGGCACTCGGGTGGCTCAGTTGGTTGAGCCTGACTCTTGATTTCAGCTCAGGTCATGACCCCAGGGTCATGCAATCGAGCCCTGCATTGGGCTGCAAGCTGAGTGTGGAGCCTGCTTAAGATTCTCTCCCTCCCTCCCTCTCTCTCTCTCCCCCTCTGCTCCTCTCCCCTGCTCACACTCTAAGTAAATAAATATAAACAAATAATTTAAAAACTCTAAAAAAAAGTTAACATAAGTAAAGCACAGAATGTGTGCAATAAATGTTAGCTGCTATTATTATTTCTATCTATCTTTATCTATTAATGCCAGGCACTGCATAAAGCACTGGCATTACAGAGGTGAGAACGTGGCCCCTTTTCTGCATTAGATTATGCTCTAAGGAGGGGAGGCCATTTTCATGTGGTCTGATACAAGGTACAAGGGAGGTGAAGACAGGTGCTGCTGGAGGGCAGAGGGGGGTAGCCCAGACAGAGGCCTGGAGGAGAAATAGGGGACTCCAGAGACTGCATCTAAGAGTAGGCAAGTCTTGAGAGATAGGCACAAGTTGGGCGATGGATGGGCATTCCTGGAGGAGGACACTGCCTGAGTCAAGGCCAGAAGCACAAGAGGAAGGAGCCTCCTGATGGAGGACGCAACAGGCCTTCTAAAATCTTACACATGTACAAGCATCTCCTGGGTGCCAGGCCACTTTTGAGCTGAGAAGCTGACAACGATAATAATAAATAACAGCAACAATAAAACAAATACTTACTGAGTGTTCACTATGGGCCAGGCAGCACAGCTAAATGTTTTGCATGCATTTTCATTTAATTCTCACAATAACCCAGTGAGGGAGGACCTATTATTTATCCCCGGTGTACAGATGAGGAAGTTTATCCTGAAGGAGGGTGACAAGGAAGTCCTGGAGACTCTCAAGCAGTAGGGGGGGGGGGGGGGGAACGTGGTCAGCAATGGTCGGGAGACAGTTGAGGATCGGCAGATTCTCTGGGACGTATCTGCATCCTGCAGTATCAGGCCTGGTACGCAGAGCCCCCAGGAGTCAGGATGTGTGGTCCACGGCCAGCGGGGTCCTTCTGAGCTGGGCCAGCACTGGGGGGGTGGTGCTCTTCCTGTTCCCCCTCTGAACCCCCGCCCACCCACAACCCTCAGAACAATCAAGCACAAGCTTGACCTGCCCTTGGGGTGACCAGCCCTGGGAAACAGTGTGATTGTAAATATTTACTGGATGTTTGTTTAATGTCAACTCCCCTTCCCACTCCACCAGGAAAAGGTTTTTGTCTATTTGTTCACCACTCACATCCTGGGCCAAGCCCAGTGCCTGATTGATGCAAAAGGCTCAAAGTACTTGGCTGAATGAATGAATGAGCATCTTCCTAACGATCTGTCCCCAGGGTATCTGCCAGCTTTGTGGAGATGGTTTCAGCCTCTAAAGTAAAATATCCACACATCCCCTGCCTCCTTCCCAAAAGGAAGGAGAGTGATCATATGAGTAAGAGCAGCAGACAGACCAGAGGGCTCAGTCCCACATGAGAACTGACCTGTGCATGGGCCCAAGGGGTGGGTACATTCACTCAGTATAGGGAAGCAAGAGCAGCGCCTGCCCATGGGGACGTGGGCTCTCGTTTACTCACTCAAGTTCATAGTTTTTTCAGTATCTGCCATGGCCACTCTTCTAGACTCTACAGGGCCACTCTTCTAGACTCTACAGGTAGAGCAATGAACAAGAGAGGCAATGCCCAGCCCCAACAGAAAGGCAAGAAGTAGATGTACTCTGTCACGTCAGGAGCTAATAAGAATTCTGAAGAAAAATAAAGACAGAGGTAAAGGAAGAAGAGAGAGGGACAAGATGGAGGTGTGGGAAGGGTGCCATCTACACGACATGGTCAGGAAGGGCTACTCCAAGGAAGTGAATAGACACGTGGATGAAGGGAAAGACCCAGTCATGGGATGATTTGTGGGAGGAGTATTCTAAGCAGAGGGGAAAGCAAGTGCAAAGGCCCTGAGATAGGAACCGTCTTGGTGAAGTTTGGAAAACAGCAAGAATTCCAGAGGGACCAGAAGAGTGGCAGAGGATGCAAGCCTCACTGGAGTGGCTAGAGGATGAGGAGGTATAGCGAGACCTTACAGTGGTTTGGCTACACAGGAAAGCAAGAAAACAAGGCGGTAGCTGGGGGACTTATTCGGCTAGCTGGTCAGTTATTTCTCTGAGACGGGAACCACTATAGCCTGTTGGTCATTGCTGAAAATGATCCAGCAGACAGGAAGACACCAGTGATACAGAAGAAGGGGGTCAGTTTTCAGGAGCAAAGTCCTTGAGCAGCTGACAGGGAACAGGATTCAGTGCTCAAGCCCTGAAATTGACAAGGACCGACAGGTCTTGAAAGGTAAGGAGCTGCCTGTTGCTGGAAGCATTCAGTTTACACGAGAAGCGCGAGAGCGAGTAGGAGGGCTTATAGGTCTGTGCACCCCCAGCACCTACCACAGCGCCTGGCACAGACCGGGTGCTCGCTACTTGTTTGAGGCGTGAGGAAATGGACAATGCTGTCAAGGGGAGAGCCAAGCATAAGATGACCGGAGACGACCTAATCAGAAAGTCTCCAGACCCACAAAACACGACATACCTGGAAACTGTGCAGCACGGCGACGTTGATCTCAATGACAGCCCGGTCCTTCCAGAGTGAGGCCAGCTTGTGCGTTTCCAGGCCCATCCTTCTGCCCACTTCCTGCGGAGGCAGAGCGATAGGGTGAGCTGGTGCCCGGGACTCCTCCTGCACAAGCCCACGTCCACGGTTGGCCCCGCCGGACGGGCCTCATTACCTCCAGGATGTTGTAGCGCTGAATGTCACAGAAGTCCCGGACCCCGATCTCCGTGCCCATGTACCAGCCGTTGAAGGGGCACCCTGGGAACTCCAGGCCACCCACCTCGAGCAGCATGTTGGCCACGGCAGGCAGGGCATACCACTTTAGCTCCAGTTCACGGAACCACTCATACCTGGCAGGGAGGCAGAGCCAGTGAGAACTGAGGCCTGTGCTTCTGCCCATCCTCACCACCACCCCCACCAGCACACAAAAAAGCCTTCAGAGAAAGACTCAACTAAGAAAACTCCTTTCCAAGTGTTTTTCTCTGAGTTTATGCAACCTGGAGAGGTGAACTGGGCACAGGAGGTATGAGTCATTAATTAAGCATTCATTTACTCATCCGTTCATGCAAACATATATTGAAGCAACACGTGTGTGACAGGCACCGTGCTAAACACTGAGAGCCCAACATAACATAGCAGTTAAAGACTCTAGTGTCAGAAAGCCCAGGTTCAGGTTCTGCCTTACTGCTTACCAGCTGTGTGACCTTGGGGTGTTATTTAGCCTCTCCGAGCCTCAGTAACCCCACCAGTAAAATAGAGACAACAGCATCCCATTCATGGGATTACTGTGAAGATAACATTATCACTCATTTGGAAATTCATTTATTGCAGAAATATTTATAATTGAACACCTACCATGTACCAGGCACCCTTCCAGGTGTTAGGGGTCTACGGCTGAACAAGAAAGGCAAGATCCCCATTCTCAAAGAGCTTACAGACTACAGTCTAGACTCTAGATGATACACAAGTAAACAGACAAATAAACAGAAAAACAAAAGGAAGGTGATGTGGTAGATGGGGGGTGAGGGTATCTGCTCTTGATAGAGTGTTCACGATAGGCTTCTCAGAGGGGGTGACATTCTGGAAATATCTCATTGTCAGGAAGAAATGAATCCTTTAACTTTCTGAGGAAAAGGCATGTCAGGCAGAGGGAACAGCAAATGCAAAGGCCCTGAGGTGGGATTGACTTCAGTATATTCAAGAGACAAAAAGAAGAGTATATAGCTCAATGCCTGCCACACAGTGAGTCCCAAATATATGGAGGTATTTTTGTGATTATGAGAGCTGCCCAGAGCCGGGACTGCTCCAGGAGCCACCATAGCCCTATACTTTTACCACAGTTAGATGAGGGCCAGCTAAGAGAGTTGGCAGGAAGCAAGAGGCCTGGACTGCTCAGTGTGAGGATATTAGAGCCTTTTGGGGGTCCCTCTCCCAAGGTCACTGCTTCCCAAGTTCTTAGGGCCCCATCCGTCTAAGCCTCTGCTTCTCCCTCGTTATCAACATATCCTCATAAATCTGAGGCCCAAGACCCAAGTCCATGGTTGCTTCACAAGCATTGAGAAGGCAAGACTTGAAAGCCAGCCCTTCTGGACACCAGCTGCTGCTGGCTGGGCTTTAGGGGAGTGGGAGGGGGGTCTGAGGATTGGGATCTCCCTAAGGAAAAGAATGGAGCATACATGTTAACATACACCCTCAGCACCCATAACATACACCCTGCTTACTTGGGATGTTCCATGGGCACCTCGAGCACGAGGTCAGGCGGGATTTCAAAGAGCTCAGGGTCTCCGCCATCAGCCTGCAGGACCAGAGGCACCACATCAAAGCGGCCGTACTTGGGCTTCCAGCCCAGGTCGATGCACAGCTGGGGGCAAGACAGGCCCGGTGAGTCTACACACCCAGACCCCTCGGCCCCTCTGGCTCCACTCTGTCGGCCACCAAGGCTGGATCCCGTACCTGGGTGAACTCCACGCTGGCAGGGTCCCCCAGGATGGTGCCATCAGGCATCTGGTAGCCAGCATACCGGATGAGCTGAGCGTTCCAGATCCGGAAGTCATGCTTCCCATCACTCCGCTGGGGGAACACGGTGATGGCCGACCTTCCCAAGACAAAGACAGCGCCATTTACCCCTCGGCTTTGGTAGGGGCTCCCAGCCAGCCTCCACAGTGCCCCCTGCCTCCTGTCTTCCCACTCCCCAGGGCTCTGCACCTGACCTAGTCGAACCAAACTCCTCTCCCTGCCTCTGTGCAACCTGCCCCCCTTCCTGACATACCCTCTCCCTTGTTCTCCTCCCACCTCTGCCCCTTCCTTCAAGACCGATACAGGGACCACGCCTCCGGGGAGCATTCCCCATCCCTCAGGCAGGGTTAGCTCTCCCAGCCTCCTCCCTGGCTGCACCACATTTCTCTTGCAGTCTAGTTAGTTGGATGTTTGTCTAGTACCAGGGACAGTGGGCTGGAGCAGTGTCCTAGGTCTTAGTCACCTCTGCATTGCCCCCACCCCACTGCCATGTCTAGTCATGGGTTGGGTCCCCATTATGTGGGCGCTGAGTGTTTGCTGAACAGAAAAATGAATGAATCGCCGAATGAGCCATCCAGTCCTTGTGGCCTTGACCTCTTTTGTTGGGAATAGGAGAAGGTAAGGGCAGGAGGGGCTACTGATGAAGAGTGATTCTCCTGGCTCTAAGAAAAACGACACACTAGAGCCTTGAGCTGCAAAGCCAACCTCTCAGCCCTTCTAAAAAGTGGAAAGCCCGACCAAGCAGTGAAGAAGTGGCTGCTTAAAGATCCCCCCATCCCTTCCAAATGGTTTCAAGTTGGAAGGAAACCAAGGTCATGGGCTGGTGAGGGGAGCTAAGCTCACGGAGGCTACTCTCACTACTGGGGCTCGACAAAGAAGCCTGAGTCTTTCTCCTTTCTCTATCTCCCTGGTTTCTCCTGGAGCCAGAGATACCTCCCCTAAACCCATCTGTGTCCTTTGGCTCAGACTCGGGGTGGGGGGGTAGGGTGGGCCCTAGCCATACCCCTGGGAAAGGTGCACCCACCTGATGTTGCCATTGTTGGTAGCATAACGCACGTGTCTGCAGATGTGCTCGAACATTTCCTGGGCAGTGGAACAGCTCCGGGCGTCGAAGACCTGCACACAGCCCACCCAGCCCACACCATCAAAGACTGTGAGGACAGAGGCCTCGGGGTTGATCAGAAGCTAAGTTAATGAGGGAAGGGGGGAATGGTCCAAAACCCCCACCACCCAAACCCCAAGCGGAGGAGAACGTTCTCCTCTGCATTGACACCTCCCGTCTCAGGGCTGCCCCAACCTGAGGAGCCCAGGCAACCCCTCTTGGAAGACGCCATCAAAACCCTATCACAGCCCTAGCCTAGTGCCTTGATAACATCAGCACATTTCATTAAGTTTTGTTTAATTTTGAGATAGAGATAGAGAGCAATGAGTGGGGGAGGGCCCGAGAGAAAGGGAGAAAGAGAGAATCCCAAGCAGGTTCTGCATTGTCAGCACAGAGTCTGACATGGGGCTCGATCCCATGAACCCTGAGATCCTGAGCTGAAATCAAGAGTCGGACGCTTAACCAACTGACCCACCAGGTGCCCCAACATCAGCCCATTTTTCACAGGGCTCTCAGCACATTTTATTTCAGCCAGCGTTGGTTTCACCAGTATTTCTCATCAATTTCTCTGTCCAAGCACTTCCTATATTATCCAGCAATAAATGATCCCCCCACGTAAAGATGCCTATGAGGCTAGGATAAAGAAAATGTTTTCTAGGAGCCAAGGATTCAAACAGTCGAGGTTGACAACCTCTGTTGTGGCACCAGGGCCTCAACAGTAACAAGTAATAAGAAACAAGTAACAGTAATAAGAACAAGGTCGTTGGTTTTATGTCTGTGTGAGAAAAGGCCAGCTAGAAATCCTGTGCTGAAACCACATTCTAGACTTCGAGGGGGGAGCCCTACGAGTCCCCATCTCACGGTCACAAATGTGAAGAGAAAACCAGAGTGGGGAGTCTCGGGCACAGCTCCTCCCGGCTGTTCAGAGCCACCTGCTGGGGGCCTGCCCGCCACCCAGGTCCTCTCCCGCTCAGGTCTAAGGGCGCCCACCTGTAGGTTTGACCACTGGATCCTCCCGATGCAGCGGGGGGCGTTGCGCCAAGCCTGCTTGGTGGCGAAGATGAGCTCATCTCCCGTCAGCTGATAGGTTCCTGTTGTTTCTATCTCCTTTGTTACTGCTTCCACCCTGGCCAGATGTTCCTCTATTTTTGCCCTGGGGGACAGGAAGACATCAGGAAGATCAACAATGAGATGGCCTTAGATGGAGACTAATTCCAGCCACAGAAGCAGGAACTGAACTAGGACACCAAGAGGGCAAGATGGCCCTCACAGAGGCTGTCCCCTCAGGGCCAGTTTCACAAGTGTGTGACACCGGCCCCCAGCTTGGAAGGGCCCCCTGCTTGGCTTAATGCTCTGCTGTCACGGTCTTGAAATTCTCAGTCAGCTTGAACAGGGAGCCCACGTTTTCATTTCTCCCCTGGGTCCTGCCAGTTACGTGGCTGGTCCTGATTCTGTGGGCACCCTAGTTGTTTCCAGGCGCTTTTTCTCCAATTACATTCACCTCAACTTGGCAAGCATCAGCCAGGAGTGCAAAATCCTTCTCAGATGCCTGCAACACCCGGGGAAGTACTCACCAAGCCACAGCCACACCCTGCCTCTTGGCCACCATCCTGTGACCAGGAGAGGAGCAGCCCGTGCGACGGCAGCTCCCGTGTGCCGAGTACTCATTATGAGCAGGGCACTGGGCGAAGCCACTCACAGCTGGGGTCTCACCGAGTCTCTGGGGGAGGCATTTTTGTGTCCATTTTGTAGCGTGGGGTAGGAAGGCTCTAGTGGGTTAAGTAGCAGCCCAGAAACGCAAGTGTGATAAACAGCAAAGTCAGGACTCAGAAGCAGGTTGCCCTGATGCCAAGCCCAGGCCCTTAACCTTCCACCCTCCACCCTAGGGGGGAATTGCAAGTGCAAAGCGCTGAGGGCCTGCCCACGCTTCCCTGGACCACACTGGGCTCTCAGGACTCAGCCTGCAGGGCCCCAGGGCCTACTCAGGGAGGAGCCCTCCACAGCCTGGTCCAACAGCACAGGCTCCTTACAGTGTGTCGTTTCTCAACCCCCACACTGTTCAGCCAGCAATTCCAGGAGAGATTTCCAAACTGTTCCTTCCCTCCCCTCCCAGGCTGCAAAAATATCCCCCAGGGAGGGATTCAGTCAGAAAGGCTTTGAAACACATACACACACACATACACACAGCAACCTTGAGATTTCCAATCAACACCAAAGACTATTTGAAATGGCACCAAACAAAGCTATTTAAGGAATGAACTGCTGATTAAGGACAGTGGACAACTCAGAACAAAATGGCCTTTCTGTGGATGAAGAGTGTCTTGACAACTCTTGCTTGATTAAAGAAAAAAAGCTCAAAGGCAAAACATTTGGGGCTCTTTATCTTCAAGGATACTCCTGGCATTAAGGACCTGCTGGGTGAGGTTAAGGCCGCCACACTGGAAGCCCTCCCTCCCCAGCAAAGCATCTAGCGAGACTCGTAGATACATCCAAGCACGGAAACAGTGGCAATCTCCAGGACACCCATGCCTGGAGCACCCTGCGTGGTGTTACTATGGGACTATGTAAGAAAGGATGATTTTTTCACATTTTTGTCTGATCCCCTTCAAGTTTCATATTCTATCACCGTTTTTATACAGTCCCATTTCTGAGGCACTCCAGATGCTACGATGCCTATTCGTCCTGAAAAAAAGAGTCTAGCTTTTGGCATAAGCCAACAGATTTGAACAGAACATTCAGCAAGTTACCATTTCTAACTATACTCCTTCATTCACAAGCAAGACCTAACTCGCCAGCTGTCTGTGCCTCTGGCTGCACAGAAGTTGGGACCTTCAAGGTCAAAGAGCTGGAGGCTACAACATAGGTTAAAAGCAGAGGCTCTGATGCCAAGCTGCCTGGGTTCAAACCCCAGCTGCGGGACGCCCGAACATCTGACTTCAAGCAAATTATTTCACCCAGGGGCTTCAGTTTCCTTGTCTGTAGAACGGGGAGGGTAATAATGATACTTATTTCATAGAGTTGTGGTGAGCATTACTTACAAGGCACTTATGCAAGGCCCAGAACATACTTAGTGCTCAGTAAATGTTAGTGTTGAGACCGTGGCCCGATGAGGCCCATCAGGAGAATTCCCAGACTCTGAAAGGCTCATTACTCATTGACAGAGCTGACAGCCCAAGGATCTTGAGCCTCCTGGTCACAAAGCACTTCTACAGAGGTGTGGTTGCACGGCACACACAGCAGGCAACCCCCAACAGATTTCTCAATCCAGTTATTAAAATAGCCGGAGGAGCTTCTAAAGAACACAGACATCTTCCTCCTCCGCACTTCCTGAGATCCCGATGCCCTTGGCCCAGCGTACCCTGGCATCAGTACTTTGCAAAGTCCTCAGGTGACTCGATGCACAGCCAGGGTTGAGGATCAGAGACCCCGGAAAGTAAGGGCCCTTTGCATAAACTCAAGGCCCCCTCCAGCTCAGACATTGTAGGGTCATAGTAGAGGGGACACAGCATCACCAGGAACCACTCTTTCCACCATGGGGGTCCCAGGCGCACTTCTAGGACTCACTTCATGCAGCAAAGTGCCGCGTGACGTATACCATAAAAGCCACACTCCCTCCCAGCCCATAAAACAGCAAGTGCCTTCCCTCAGTCATTCTTGTCTTACGACCCCTTTGTGTATTTCATTTTAAAGTTGTAAGTGGGCCTAAGTTGATAATCGTATATTTCATGAGACCCAGGAATACAGAGTTCAGTGCAAAGAGCATGACTAGCTCTCTCCAGGTCAAATGGCATGGACTCCAGCTGGGACTGGGCTTCCCTGTTCACACCCGCTGGAGGTAGGCTGGACCAGGTGGTCTCGAAAGTCCTTTCTATCCCAGACACTTCATAATGAAAGGGAACTTGGCACAAACTTAAAGGCTCACAACAATCTTCTGAGCCAGGTTCTAATCTCACCCCACTTTTACCGATGAGGAAGTTAACTCACAGAGAGGGTAAACAGATTTCCCAAGGGTACAGGACTGGTTGGCTACTGGTGCAGCCAGGACTCAAATCCAAACAGGTGCACTCCGTCACTTTCCTACACCTATGCTTTCAACCACTACTGCTATGTGTCTTTTTCTTTCTTTCTTTTTTTTTACGTTTATTTATTTTTGAGAGACAGAGAGACAGAGTGCCAGCAGGGGAGGGGCAAAGAGGGAGGGAAACACAGAATCTGAAGCAGGCTCCAGGTTCTGAGCTGTCAGCACAGAGCCCGATGCGGGGCTCAAACCCATGAACCGCAAGATCATGACCTGAGACGAAGTCGGACGCTTAACCGACTGAGCCACGCAGACGCCCCAACTATGTGTCTTTTTCTTATGATTATGAGAACCTACTCTGGGGTCTTTCCCCTTGGAGAACTATCCTTTAGCCCCGGGCTCACTGTGAATCTGGGAAGGAAAAGGGCCTGGGGTCAGAGGGAAATGATTAGAGATGGAGGAGCTCAGGGGAAGGGGGAGGCAGCAACCCTGCCCAAGTGAGACTTACTCTTTGAAGGAGCTGTAATACTGGTTGACAAATTCGATAGCTTGAGGTAGAAGCTCGTCTGGGGGGGTAGGCTTGTCCCTGGGTCCTCTGGTCAAACTTTTGGGGTTCATGATGGCTCCCAGACAAGACTTAGACCTGCAAGCAAGATCCTGGAAAGAGAGAAGCAGGTGGTAAGGGGGCTGCTTGGCCCCTTGGGAAGGTGTTGACACAAGTCCTCCTTCAGGGCCATCTCTCCTGACCATTTCCTTCCACTCCAGCTGCTCCAGCTCCTTGCTGCCCCTCTCCACCCCTGTGGCACCTCCTCCTTGGGGTCCACCAAGCTTTCTCCCCACTCACATCTCCTTTCCTCTACTGGCTCACCCAAGTGGGTGTGAGCTGGGGTTATTCCCACCACCTCGGGCTCAGTCTCTGGCTCTGCTCCCCAGCCAGACTCAGACTTGGCAAAGTCAACAGCTCGATCCCTGGGACATGTCAACTACCTTCTCATTTAAAGAGGCTGATATGGTTCCTGGGTACACACTATTAGTATTCAGCCAAAATGAATTGCAAGGAGAGGATATAAATCCTAAAGTCAGAGGATGGCACAGAAAAAATACTGGAAAGAAGTACACCTAAATGTTAACTCTGGTATTTTCTGGAAGGTATGGAAAATCATTCTGTTTTCATGGTCTTGGAATTTTCAATTCTTTTCCACTTTACAATCAGAGTGCCTTTTTTTTTTTTTTTTAATAATGTTTATTTTGGGGGCGCCTGGTGGCTCAGTCAGTTAAGCGTCCGGCTTTGGCTCAAGTCATGATCTCACGGTTCATGAGTTCAAGCCCTGCGTCGGACTCTGTGCTGATGGCTCGGTGCCTGGAGCCTGCTTCGGATTCTGTGTCTCCCTCTCTATCTGTTCCTCTCCCGCTTGCACTCTTCTCGCACTCTCTCTCTCTCTCTCTCAAAAATAAAGATTAAAAAAATGTTTTTTTAATTAAAAAAATAATGCTTATTTTTGAGAGAGAGCGAGCATGTGATCTGGGGAGGGGCAGAGAGAGAAAGGGACAGAGGATCAGAAGCAGGCTCTGTGATGTCAGAAGAGCCCGATGCGGGGCTCAAACTCACGAACCATGAGATCATGACCTGAGCCAAAGTCCGACGCTTAACCAACTGAGCCACCCAGGCACTCCCAGAATGCATTCTATAGTTAGAATAAGACACTTAGCAGAAGAAGCCTTAAAGGCACTTACTCCCAACTACTCACTAGATGCTTGAACCCCTCTCCAATCTCCCTATCAAATAGCACTTGAATCCTTCCAGTGACAGGGATCTCACTATCTCCTGATGTAGTTCAGTTCAGTTTTGGACAGTTCTATTAGAAAATTCTCCCTGATTAAAAAAAAAGAGAGAGAGAGAAAGAAAAAAGAAAGAAAGGTCCCCAATACTGCATTGTCTCTCTAAGAAAGATTGAGTTTCTTTCTGTAATCATTGATCTTACCTTCAGATTACCCATTACCCATTAGGGGGATTAATAGGGAGTGGGCATCATTTACTTCTTCTGTTATTTGTGAAGAACACTGGTTTCTGTTCCCAGCACCCTGTGCCCAAGCAGATGACTGTCTGGTTTGCCCAGGAGGATGTCCATTTGAGCTAATAAGGGCCCTAACGGCTTCACAAGCTTGGGACAAGGGTCGTTCTCCCTGAGCCCCAGACCTCTCACCCCTTTGGCCTTGTGGTGAAGTGTGTCTTGGAAAGTCATCCCACTGCCCCAGTTTTTGATCCTCACGTGCCGTGGGCAGGCCGACGGGGGCATATCCAGCTTCCCCAGGGATTCTGGAACTGTCTAAGGGGGGGAAAACACCAAGGATTTACAAACGCCTTCACTCCAGGACCCCACAGGTCTCCCCTGAGCCCTACTCTGGCTTGGAGCGGGGAACCATGATTGAGGACACAGGTCAGGATGTCGGTCTGTGTCCCTCCTCCTTTCCCAGCAGCTTGGCCACCTGGGCCAGTGCCTGCTAAGAGCTCCAGGTGCCTGGGCCACTGGCCAGGCTTCTCTCCTCACCCAGGACCCTGCCAAACGCTCCCTCAGAGGAACTGCCACAGGAGGGATTAAGGTTAGCTGTAAGGGAGACTATGGTCACAGCCAATACTGCAGAGAACAGAAATCTCAGCACAAGGAAGAATGGACCACTGCCTCCCGTGCAGGCATTTAAGACCATGGAAACCATCTCCTCTCCTACCTCTCGCCCATTTCTCTGCCCACCTCTCTGGAACGCTGAGGTCCAAAGCTCTTAGGAAAGATGGAATCTGTGGGCTAGAGGCTGGGCGCTGGGACTGAGGCTCAGCTGATGAGTTTGCTTTATGTTGGGGTGTCCTACCCCTGGCTCCATGAACGGCCTCCTCTCATCCGTGCCTGTCAGCCCGCACAGGCAAATCATCTGGGGGCCATAGCATCACAGGGGCCACTACTCCCGCTCTCCTAAGGCCCTTCCTCACCCCCACCCATGCCCCCAGGGGTCCCCACGCACTGCCCAGGCCCTAGCCTCCACCAGGCTGCTCCTCCTGCATCTGCCTACGCAAGGGAGGAAGGGGGCTTCCCACACCCGTATGACTCACTGACCTTTACTGTCCCCGTGAGGGACTGGGGGGGCTCATTCCGGTGTTTGCTGAGGCTGTGACACTTGGGGTCATCCTGTGTCACTAGACTGCAAAAGAAAATAGCCATCATGAGGTAGAGCATCTCAGGACAAAGAGGGATCTTGGAGTCCCCTCTGCCAACCCCTCATTTGATGGAGGGGGAACCGAGGCCCAGACGGTAAGAGTGAATGTCACAGCTGCCGGTCGAGTAGGATGTGTGTATGTGGTGGGGAAGGCAGCCAGCCAGACAGACCCAATCTCCCCACCAACACCACCCTCCCTCCTCCTCTTCTTTTCTTGCCTCCCCCCACCCACCCACCCACAAAGCCAAAAAGACAAGAGAGGAGCCGAGTCAAAGCTAGCCGCCCAAATGACCCACAGAAGCTCTGGGAAGATGCCCCTCCCGAAGCCAGGTACAAATATAGTCATCCTATGAGTGCACAGAGAATGGCTCCTTCAGGCCCGCCCTCCCAGGCCAGCAGCACTGCCCACTACCCACTTGTTTAAGCTTTTTTGTTTCAAGCCCTTGATATATCTTGGTTTCGTTATTTATCCTAAATTTGTATTAGGGGACATGTTAAGCATATGCAAGTAGGAGGGATAATATAATAAATCCCCATGGGCCCTTCGCCCAGATTCAGCCCCACTTCAACAAGTATCACCCCATGGCCAATCTTGTTTGAACTCTATTCTCCCAGCCTCTGCTATCATTTCAAAGCAAATATGGGACATCACATCATTCATAAATATCTCAGTAAGTGTATCTGGAAGTCAAGGACTCTTAAAAAATATATTGCTTATATTTATTTTAAAACAGGAGATGTAAAGAACTTTTCCTGTCCTTTGAAGAGGAAAAAGCCCTAACAGTCTGAAATCACTCAGAAACCACTACCCCGGGGCACCTGGGTGGCTCAGTCGGTTAAACGCCTGACTCTTGATTTCGGCTCAGGTCATGATCTCATGGTTTGTGAGATGGAGCCCCGAGTCCAGTTCTGCACTGACAGCATGGAGCCTGCCTGGGATTCTCTCTCTCTGCCCCTCCCCCGCTTGCGTGCTCTCTCTCAAAATAAATAAATAAA